AGGTTCCAGCACAAAGGTGTGTCTCAAATGAGCGCAGACACCCTCCTCCCCGGCTGCCTTACCCTAACTCGCCCCAGCCTCCGCCAATCCTGTCTGAGTCCTCACCTGCATTTTTTGCACTCCCTCTTATCTTTTCTCTTGTTCTTTAGTTTTTCTTTTTGGGCCTTCCTAGGGTGTGTGTGTATGCTTGCATGTCTTTGTGTGTGTTTGTATTCTGTTGTACTGGTCCCGGCTGGACAGCTTGCTCCCCCCAGCCCGCCTTGTCCCCTGCGCTTGGGCGGTTCGGCTCTTTTGTTTGGTTAATTGCAATGAGTATAATGTCCTAGTCTCTCAGAGGTCCACCAAAGACAATTAGACAATCCCAAGAATTTAACGAGACACCAGCAGCTCCAGTCCCCATAATCTGCTCTGTGAGACACTCTGCTTTCTGCTGGCACTGACTGTGATGTAGTGAGAAGGGGTTTGTGATGGAGGTCACCTGTTTGTGACAGTGTGAGTGTGTGTTCCTAGAGTATTCATCTTCCAATATTTAAAATAAAAGTTCTCTCTAAAACCAGTGTATCCTGCATGTATTTTAATTCTGTACTGATGTGTCATATTTCCAGTCTTGTTAACACCATGGGATTCTCATCTTAGGACTTGCTCTTCCTGGATATGACAGACTTCCTGGGAACGTCTGTGTAATTGTTAGGGGTGATTATCTTTTTCACCCAGTAAAGGGATGGATCACTTGACAGTGTCATCCCCAAAGGAAGATGGATTGCTGGGGGGCCTGGGTGATAGATGAAACCCTGGGTGGCCCTTTAAGGACTTCTCCTCTCTATTTATTCCTCACTTTCTCTTTCTGTGTCTATTCTGTCTCTATTATTTCTCCCATGGTGCTCCAATTTCTTCCTTTTTTCTTTTTCTGTCAAATGTTCTATCGTTAACTCCTTTAGGACCTCTCTTTGCATCTCGCTAAGCTAAAACCATCCTTAAAATTCACAGAAAACATCCATAAGTGATTCATTATATTTCCGTTCACCTCACGTATAGATTAATTAATAATATCGCATTGCCCTTGTCAAGTACCTGTAATTCACAACCTTAAAATCTACACTTGTACTGGGTCCTGAAGAGAAAAGCTTTTCTTACATTTTTTTTGTTTTCTTTCTCTTGTTCTGTCATTCCTTTGCTTTTTTGATTAGCCATGATTAGCCAGGGAGGCTAATCATGGTGTTACAACAAAAGACGGGGCTCCATTATTGCATGTGTGCATCCCAGAAGAAAGGAAATGAGAACGGGACAGAGGGTGGCCCTGGCCTGACACTGCACTATTAATCTTCCAGTAAAGCCTTGTCAGACAGAAACGGGCACAAATGGATCACTTCGATTAACTGGGGGAGTGTAGGTAAGGGCTTTAGCAAGTGTTTACCAGAGTCCATTTTCTTACTAATGAAGAGGGGGTATCCCCCCTCTTCATTAGTAAGAAAATGGACCCCCAGCCAAACCTGCCAGCCTGCTCTTAAAGGTCTAGATAAAGGAAACAAAAGTAGAAGAAAAGATCTGAAAAAGAAGAGAATATTTGAACCAGGATATTTTAAAAATCTGCAATCGAGAACTGTGAAAGATTAAGATTTGTGAAACGTTGTTCTAAACTTCCATCATAGTACAAAACATATTCATTCAACATGAAAAACAAACAATATTGACAAGGCATTAAAACCTGGCTTTTTTAACGCATTTGTCAGGTATAATTTTTCAAGTAAAATATCAAATGGCAGATCTTTATTTTATCTTTTGGAAGGTGTACCATCTTCTCTTGTAATTCTGTAGTTGGTTTTTAGTTTACACACAAATCTGACACTTTTACGGTCTAGCCCTTTGGTATAGAACAATGTGCAAAACTTGAATAATGGGTTTTGAAAAGCCATAATAATAGGAGATAATAGGAGCTGGAAAACTTATCAAGGATCAAGTCTGCAGTGCCACAGTGCAATTCATCAACGCCGCTAGAGATGTCATAATGTTTTTACTTGAAGTCAGTGTACACGCAGACCTGTTTTACATGCACGCAGAATTCTGTTTTTACTAACCACTGCATGTCACCGTGTCTCAGATCAATGCATGTTGTTTGCTGTATTATTGTCTTGGTTTCCACCAAACCATGTGTAAAAAAATGGTTCAGTTTGTTGTGCATCAAATGCTTGATAGGGCAGCTCTAGCTCTCGGTGGATGCATTTGGCTTTTGTTTTCCTCTATGTCAAGCTGTTAACAGTGAGACCAGCTTCCTGACCAGCGGCCAGATCAGTGAAACAAGCTTTATTAAAGAGATAGCAGCAACCGCTGACCTGGGTGATAGCGAAGAATGGGGAAGAGAGGGACGGCCCCAACCGTGCTCTTGTATTATCACTGACTGCGTCTCCCCCCCTCCGACTCTCTGGGGAAACTACAAGATTATTGGAAGACTTCACCTTTCTCTTCCTCCACAACCCCCATCCTGCCTTTCCTACCACTGCTGCTCCTCTGTACCCCCCAGCCCTCCCTCCACCTCTGCACACCCCAAACATTTTTAATTACATCTTCTCCCATGTAGTGTGGCTCAGTAACCAAGGAGCTGACATTGATGCATGTGCTGATAAATCCGCAAACACTGGAAACAAGATTAACAAAGATTTTGAGGAAAGGGTGACAGCTAATTTTGTGCAATGGTTGGTGCCTCATTCGAGAGTGATGTTTTTGATAGCGCGAGCCACGCCTGAGAATTCAGGCTCTGTGCCGGGGTGGGGGGACGCGAACACAGAAGCATGAGGAGTTCCGTGGCATTAGCACTTTTGATATTATTCCTTTTTTTTCGAATCTTCCCCATCTTTTCAGGCATCTGCTCACGTCCTTTCATCCAGCCTCCTGAGCATCCAGCTCAAATATTTATGTAATCTGGTCATGTAAGGGAGTAAATGCTACTCCAAGTGATAACATCAGGATAAGTTTTCAGAGTGAAGTTTCTTAAATATAGAAACACATATTTTTTAAAGCATATATTAAGTGACAGAAACCATAAAGCATGCTGAGCCTCAATGTTTGTGTATATTTGTATGTGGTGTGTATGAGGCTGATGCTTTAGGGCTGATTTCATTTCTATGATATAATTAGTAGTGTGTATTGTTGATATGGTGATATGCCACTTCAGGCCTGTAGTCTCTGCTCTGAACTGGTACTGAACCCATAGAGACACGGCTATGGAGTCATCTGACACAAATATCAAATATGTCTGTCTAATCACACAAACACACACAAACAGAGCCAGCTAACAATCATACTTCCACAGCTGATTCCCTATTTTCTCATTGGAGAAACCACGCAATCCTACTTCCTTCTTCCTCCTTCTTGCAGCTAATTCCAGGTCCATACAATGGAAACATGTTGTAGATTTCTTTTGTTCTTTTATTTTTTGTGCCACTTATTTTTCTTCCTCTCCCCCTTCCCCCACCCACCTCTGCATGTGATGTCTCCCTTCTTAAAATTGCCTCCCCTGTCTTCATCTGTAGGCAGCTGACAGCTTCTTTCACTTTTCTTTGTCAGTTTCTTCTTCTCCCTCTCTCTCTGTCTTTCTCCGGCCCTCTCTCTCTCTCCCTCTCTCTTTTTCATCTGCCCACCCTCCTGCGGTGTGACCCTGACCTCCATCGCCCCTGCAACCACCTCCGACCCCTCCAGGTGACCCCCGGTCCCTGTTTTGACAGCTTGATTAATTGCCCAGTGTTATGATTTATGGGAAAAGCAGTATGTAAAAATAATAGACAACAGGTGGTCCTAAAAAAAAGTAGTAGATCTGAAAGCTCTTTTAGTGAGGATTGTGGCGGTGGTGGGGACGAGGGGGTCGCTTTCAACCATTTTTGAAGGCTACACTGGGTTAATAGAAAAATGTTATTGCTGCATGCATCGTTTCCTTATTGCCACAGTGTGGATTTCTCCATGTGTATTTGACCATATGGCGAGGGGATGAAGGGGATTCCAACGTAAATGCGTAGCTCCGTGTGTGATGTGAAGCATAAACCCAGGCCATGTGGTAATGACACTATGGAAAATGTGCTGGAACACCTAGACAAGCACACACACAGACACACACACACACACACACACGGACAGACGCACAATCAATATTCTGTGTTCTTCACTTGTTTGCACCTCTTAAAAGTAAGCAGACTAAAAGGCAGGACAGTATGGCCATAGCGTTTACCCTTCACATTTCAAACACACTGGCTCATGGACCTGTGGTGCAGCAACACAGACTGGGACTTTCACACTGTGTGTGTGTGTGTAATTGCAAATAGGTGATAGTGTTCTGATTTATAACCAGTTTCAATAATATAGCCTGTTAGACTGTCAGCGTGTACCACTGCAGATGGAAATGAATATTTTGAATATTAGACTGTATAATGTGCAGACCCCGTCCTCTTTTCTGGTCATTTCTTGGTGTGTCTGTTTTCTTTTAGGTTTTTCCAGGTAGATGGGTGGAGCTACTAATTGGATGTGCACCTGGAAGGCTGGGCCCAGGTTATTTAACTGGCTCCTCCTTCTCATTCTTTCTCTCTCCGACCATTTCTCAGAGCACCTGCTTCCTGTTTGGTTTGTGATATTTGGTTAGAAAATAAATATTTTTGTTTTAAGTTACTTAAAAGTGTGTGGTCTCCCATTTTTGTCTTGCTCTCTGAGCCAGGGCTATGACAAAATGGGGGCTCGTCCATTTAATTTGGAGAGATTGTAGACTTACTATTTAGTAGGTTTCAGTCAGTTTGTGCCAGGTTGTGATTTGGTTGGAACTGTTTGTACAGGGTGGTAGATTGTCAAGTTGCTGCTCTGTGTTTTGTTTCTGGTACATTTGTTGGGAGATTCACACATGTTTAACTGGTTTTAGGTTTTGGTAACTGGTTAGTGGAGTGAGTTGATCCACTACATTGTATATTTTCTACATTTTCCTTTGTCTTAACTGTCAAGGGAGAGCCATTATTATAGGAGTTTTTCCCTGGATAGGATAAGTGGTGGATCTTGTTTAGAAGGTTCACCTTTCTCAATTTTAGGCCGGTGGTGAACGTGGGTAGAGCAAAGCTCGGGAGCACCTCCGTGGCTGTAGGAAAGTGGCCACTTGCTAGCTGCTTTCTTTACTCCACTGGTTTCGTGTGCATAAGTACCCCCCACATGTGACTGCCAGAAGACTAGGGTTGAGTTAGCTAGTTTTGGTATTAATTTAAGTTAGATGGGAACTCTCCTTATGATTTTTGGCTTCTCTAAATACAGGTTTGCATAAGGTAAGTGTGGAAATATATTGTGGATTACACTGTACTGTTTGCTTTAACTGTATCTTTAAATCTGAGTTGTGATAATGGCTTCGATTGATGAGTTTTTTCAAGCTCCTTCTGATCACCTTCTCACCCAATACACAAAAGAACAGCTTTTAAAAATAGCTGATAATTATGGGGTTGAGATTGGTGATAAAAGGTTAAAAGAAAATATTAGAACCATTTTGAAGACAAACTTGGTGGAGTCTGGAATCCTTAAAAGGGAGGAATTTCAGGCCCAAGGAACCAATGCAACATTGAATTTTGAACAACAGAAAGAATTGTTAAAAATGCAATTGGAATATGAAAAACTTAAACAGGAAAGAGAACTTGAAGTACAGTTAGAACTTGAAAAAATGAAATTTAAAACTGAACAGACCAAATTAGAGTTGGAACATTATAAGCTGAATCTGATTAAAGACGGTAAGCTTAATGAGTGTTCAGGAAGGGACAGTGTAGGGTTTAGTGAAACGTCTTCTAGATCTGATTTAAGCACAAAGTTAAAGATGGTGCCAAAATTTAATGAGAGAGATCCTGACACATTTTTTTCGTTGTTTGAGCGGGTTGCGGAAACTTGTGAGTGGTTAGACACAGAACGCACTCTGTTGTTGCAATGTGTGTTCACTGGAAAAGCACAGGAAGCATATTCTGCATTAAGTTCAACAGATAGTAAAATATATGTTAAAGTGAAAGCTGCTGTATTGAAAGCCTATGAGTTGGTACCTGAAGCCTATCGACAACATTTCAGGGGTGTGAGAAAGCGAGAGCAACAGACTCATGTGGAGTTTGTGAGGGAGATGGTTCTCCAGTTTAATCGCTGGTGTTCGGCATCAGAAGTTGTCACTTTTCAACAGCTTTGTGATTTGGTAACACTTGAACAATTTAAAAACTGTGTACCAGACAGTGTTGCTACTTATTTAAATGAAAGAAAAGTTAAAACACCCCATGAAGCAGCGGTGCTGGCCGATGAGTACATCCTCACTCATAAAAGTACATTTGTTGACGACAAAGTTGTTGTGCAGAATAGTGGTTCGGTACGCACAAGCAAATCTTTTCTGTTACATGGGGAGTCTGGTTCCTCTAGGTTCGATCGTGGCTGGAAGAAAGGTGATCCCAGTAAGAATTGTAATTATTGTCAGCGTAAGGGGCACTGGAAAAATGATTGTCCTGTACTTAAAAGAAAATCTAAGTTCTTAGGTAATGCACAGGTAAAGCCAGCTGCTTTAGCTGCTTCAGCCCAGAAAAAAATCCAAATACATAGTTCCAATGACCTCTGTCCTGTGGCAGAGTCAAATGAGGATGATGACTTTTCAGCCTTTATTTCGGATGGTTATGTCTCCCTGTGTGGAGAGAAGGTGCCTATTAAAATCTTGAGAGACACTGGGGCAAAACATAGTTTTATCTGTGAGTCTGTCCTTCCTTTCTCCTCATATTCAGATACTAGGAATTTCATATTGATGAGGGGAATGGGCATGACTATGGTTCCAGTGCCAGTACATAAAATGGAATTGGTTTCTGGTTTTGTTACTGGAGAGGTGGAAATAGGTGTCCGTCCAGCCTTGCCTGTTGAAGGGATCGACATGATTCTTGGCAATGATCTGGCAGGAAGTAGAGTTTGGGCTGATGATCCACCTTATGTTGTCACTCAGGTTCCTGAATTGCCACGATCACAAACAGAGGTGGTGGAAACAAATGAGGTTTTGTCTGAAGTGGAATGGTTTCCAGTATGTGCAGTAACTCGAGCAATGGGGCGGAGAAAAGATGAGGCTGCAGAGCAGGACGTAGCTGAGTCTAAAGTAATGGTTGTCCCTGTGCCTCTTGATTCCATCTCTCATGGAGAGTTGATTGAGGAACAAAAGTCTGATCCTTCAATAAAAGCACTTTTTGAGTTGGTGTCTCCTATGGAGGAGATGGAAACTGCAGCTCAGGGATATTTTGTGAAAGATAATGTCCTGGTTCGTAAATGGTGTCCCCAAACTGACAATTTTGTGGGAAAATCAGTGGTGCAAATTGTGGTGCCTGCCAAATTTAGAGAGATGGTGATGAAAGCCTCCCATGATGGTGTAGCAGGACACATGGGGGTTCAAAAAACATATCACCGGATCTTGTGTCATTTTTTTTGGCCACGATTGAAAAAGGATGTATCGGCATACATAAAGACGTGCCACACTTGTCAGTTGACGGGTAAACCTAATCAGACTATAAGTCCAGCACCATTGTACCCTGTACCAGCATTAGGTCAACCGTTTGAGTACTTGATTATGGACTGTGTAGGTCCACTACCTCCTTCAAAATCTGGTAGCAAGTATTTGTTAACGGTGATGTGTCAGGTTACTAGGTATCCTGCAGCTTATCCGTTGCGCTCCATCACGACCAAATCGGTAGTGAAGGCATTGTCACAGTTTGTTTCTGTGTTTGGCATCCCCAAAGTGATTCAGACGGACCAAGGTTCCAACTTTTGCTCTAAACTGTTTTCACAGGTTTTGCAGCAGCTCCAAATTAAACATAATCAAGCATCAGCATATCATCCTCAAAGTCAAGGTGCTTTAGAACGTTTTCATCAAACTCTCAAGTCACTCTTGCGTGCTTATTGCACGGAGCTTGATCGTGACTGGGAGGAGGGTTTACCGTGGTTGTTGCTGGCTGCGAGAGAGGTAGTTCAAGTGAGCACTGGGTTTTGTCCAAATGACTTAGTTTTTGGGCATTCAGTGCGTGGTCCTGTGGCAGTTTTACAAAGTGGTTGCCAACAGTCGGAGCCACCATCAAACTTGATTGATTATGTCAACGGTTTTAGACACAGACTATATCTAGCGGGGAAAATGGCAAAACACAGTTTAGAAAAATCACAAAAGAAGATGAAATCACTGTTTGACCGAAAAGCCAAACAGCGGCAGTTCAATCTGGGTGATCAGGTCATGTTATTGCTGCCGGTTGTAGGTTCGCCATTTCAGGCGAAATTTGCTGGTCCATTCCCGATTAAAAAGCAAGTTTCTGAGCAGGATTATTTGATTTCAATGCCAAATGGAAAATCAAAGTTGTGCCATGTAAATTTGTTAAAGCCATATTGTGCTCGTATGTCGCCATCTCCTAGTCTCAAGGAGGCCCCTTGTG